AAGCCAAACCTCATAGTAAAGTTCTTAAGTGGAGAGTAGATTTTGCAGTGATCAAGTTAGTGCTGTAGCTTGATATTGTAAACTAAAAGTTATTGAAATTTTATAGAAGTGAGTATAGGCAAAGTCCATGCAAGAAGGCTCGGAATCCGGACATGATTATCTAGAAATCCAAATCAAAAGATGAGAAGGATTTAAAGAAAAAAAGTGCTCCAATAGGATATAAATCTAGAAGGAATATTTTGAAGTCCGACAAGTGTCTTTTGAAAGGTGGACATTATCCAGAATTTTCATGACAAAAAGAAGTGCTCAATGCTCTTATGACTTCTTTTTTATTGAAGAAATATATAGCAAAAGCAAAATCTTCTAACTTAGAGAAGGTCATGTCCAATTAGTAATTACTCATCACAAGAACTCGCATAGAAGCTGAGCATTTGTTGAATATATTATAAGATGAAATTTGGGAGACATCTTAGCAAAGGCCAAAGAAGAAGACTTACTCTTCAAGCACAAGTTTATTAGAATTGAGTACTAACGAAGAATCATCTATTTCACCTTGGGATAGTGCGATAATTGAATACATGAGATCAAATGGATGAGTAATTGAAGGCAATGACGAAAAAACAAAGGCATAGCGAGGTTTCTACACTTAGCTGAGTTGGTTTGGTTGCAACTTGATCAGGAGCTTGAGATTGAGCTTGCATTAGGTTTGGTCAGATTAGATCTGAATTGAACTTTGGCTTGAATTTTGATTAAGCTAAATTGAACTTTGATTGAAACTCGAGACAAGCTAAACTCTAGTGAGACTTGAGCTACATTCAATCTGGTCCTTGAGCTGGATTCAAGCTTGAGTTGGTTTGGATTAGGATCTATTTGGTGTTGGACTTGAACTCTAATTGAGCCAAATTGGGGTTCAGCTTTAACTTTGGCTGGATCATCTTGGATCACATGAAGCATTCTTTCACCACGACGCGATAAAATCTAACTATAAAGCACTGTTAAAAAACAACACAGTCAAAGTTGTAAGACATTGATTGCAAATAACTTGAAGTCAACACATCCAAATACATAGTGGATGAGGTAGTCAGAGAACCTACCAAACCAGCCATATACTGTACATGACAAAACATGCTGAGGGTCTATTGATATAGGGTTCTAACACAATCTATTTAATGACACATCATGCTCATTTTTATACTTCGTCCACCTGACTGAACGATCAAATCATCATCGCATAGAGATGATGGCCAATTGCCAATGTGGACAGTGGTGTTGCTGATAGGGTTGTCTATTCAACTAGAGCAAGAGCTAGCACCCCACAAGCCATAGATCAAGGTCGATCCCTTGAGGGAGTTCACCTCGTCAAGCGCTGCCACAAGCCCGATTGCAAGAAGTTCTCAAAGGTGGCGGTCCATACAACAATCGGGTTCATGGTGATGGGATTCGTCGAAGGTCAGGCACATAAGGCATACCTCGCTCCAACAAGAACAGGCTGCGGCCGTCCAACGCCATGACAAGTCTAAAGGAAGGGAGAGTAGAGGAAAGGAGAGTAGAGCTTGCTAAGGCAAGAATTGCTATGATACAATGATAGCAAATGAAATTGTGTGTTGTCACCGAATTCTCTGCTCCAGAATCATTAGCAACCTCTGTCTTCAACTCCGGAATCATTCTATTAGACCCGTTGAAGATCGATCAGTCTGCTCTAAGAATCCCTTCCCATCATAAAACAATCCTTTCCTTTATCATGTATAAATAAACATTATATGATATTAATTGAAGTGTGCTTTTTACTCTTCCTCTTCGTTTCATTTTATCATGGTATCAAACAATGAGAAAAGCGAGGTTTCGCCCCTGCTTCCGACCAACGATCGACCACCGTCACTGGAGCCACATTCCCAAGCGAGGCTCCGCGGCCAGCAACCATGTCTTCCTCACCACAATAGTCTTTGCTGATCTGGTGTCTACCACCGTCACCAAAATATAGTTGAAGAAATGCATCTGTAATCATATGTAACCTTCAAAAATAATGTCAAAGTCAAAATAATTAAAACAATTGGATCTATATATTTTTAATAATCGAATTATAGATCACAAATGGATTTTGTGTATAACCATTCTTAGCATTCTACTCTAACAAGCATCAATCTTCACACCCAATTGCAATTATTAGAAGACAAGTATAGTTCTAGCTAAATATTCCATCATGAAGCTAACAATACAATCATAATAAAGGTTAGTTTATTGCAGCTTATGGTCCAAAGTTTCATGCAGCTAATTTATGACAACGATATGTATTATTATCTGCATTAATACGATGAACTTGTGTAGTTATCTTAAAATATTTACCTTTAAATTAATAAATAAGAGTATCTTCTTCGTTTAAAATTTCATGTCCTCATCATGATTCAGATATAAATCTTAGTATAGTATATTAAGATTTCATGTCCTCGTCAAGATTCAGATATACTATAATATATTGTGACCCATGTTATAATGTGCATGATACAATCCGGTAAGTCATTATCTTCACAGAAAAAAGAATATCATTTATAGAATTACTTAAAAATCTTGTGGTTAACATGCCTTAATGTGCCAATATTATCATTGCTTAATCTTTCATAAAATAAAATGTTACATTTGGAATTTTGTTAAGCCAATTCTAAGAAACACGAAAGATAAAAGAATCAATTAGTTTACAAGGCTATAACAGCCGTGCTGAATAATTATGTGTTCAAATGACAAAGAAATCATAAAAATAAATTAGATCTCCAAATGGTGTTATCATTTGTTGTCTTTAAGCAATACATATTCTCGGATTAAGATGATGCTTTCATTCTTCTCTCTCTCTCTCTTTTTCTTTTGGCAATTGAGACAACGTCAAAAATAATGTTCGAACTTTCTAGGAATTGGACAAATAGATTTCTGATGTCAAGTCAAATTATAGATCCTACATAGAATTAAGTTCAAATCCCCCATAAATAAGCATCAGTTTTCTCTTGTCAGTGGTCGTAATTAATAGGTGAAAGATAGTTCGTGCAAAATAATCAATCACAATGTCACGCATTATTATCCTGACTTGATGTGATAAGATATTTAATCTATTTAATTTAATGAGCTTGAATCATTGGTTCAAGAATACTAATTTTTAAATTATAAAATAGCTAACTAAATCAAATTAACTAATTTTAAATTAATAAATCAAAATCGATTCCGAGCGCATCCCAACTGGTCACATTGACCCAAAAAGAGGGAAGTCGAACGAACACAAAAGCTTGGTAAAAACTTGGGTAGGGGCCGCGCGTGCGCGTACCCCCCTGCCACAAATTATGACGTCCACTCTCCCACTTGGGGAGATGGTAAGCCAATGCTCCTCCAACGTGCAATGGAGGCCATTGGCTTAGGCCATGAGCCTTGTTGATCGCCCATAGACCCCGTCCAGGTAAGTATGTTACAATGGTAGCACGAATCTTCTTTTAAGCATCTCTGCGTTCTCGCCACCCTCAGATTCCTCGATGTGGGATTAAACCCCTCGTGTGAACGAAGCGTTGATTAATTGTGATATAGTATCCATTGCTAACTATTCCAATCACAAGTGAGACGATAAATTTGTCAGTAGTCTTCTGTTTTTTATGTTTGACTAGTTTGGATGATCAAGTTAGCGTGGAGATGATATTGATATTGCCAATTAACTATCCTACTATACTAGAAAAGACAAACTCCTAGATGTTGGCCTTATATCATTGAATGATACCCACGACATGAGAAAATATGTTGCCAATTCACCATATTTTGTTGTCTAGGACCCGAGGACATCTATGCTATTCATACGAGGATTAATGGCAAGCTCAGGTTTGTTGTGAAGTTATAGTCGATATATGTAACATATATTATTTCACATGAGGATAATTAAATGCCAACTTGTACATGGTAAAGCAAAAAAATTTGAATCTCTCTTTGAGATCTCTTGTTCTTCTATTCCACAAATGTGGTTGCTTGAACTAAGAATTCTGTGCGTATGTCTTAATAATAATATGTATTTATTCTTCACAAAAGTTAGCACAATATAGCGGACAGCTCGGATATTTGAGATGCCTGACTTAGGGCTACAAAGCTATATTTATTTGTGTGGCTTGAACGCATCACGCATGAGGTAACGGCTCATTCGACCACGATAGCATTTCCACAACTGACAGCAACAAATGAGAAGCTAATTGACGGGATGTATCAAACAAATAAGACAACACGCTGCCCATCTAACAAACAGCTTTCTTTATCAGGTCATAAGAATTTAATCTCTACAACAGACTATCATTTTGCACATTGCTTCGATTCTGAGATCGAGGGAATTCAAATCACATAATTTCTAAATGATACAGAAAACAGAAGGCATAGATTACTTTGGCTCTCATGATTAATTCAAATCCCAGTAATCTTGATATTGTGCAGCACGGAAGGGAGCATAACTGGGATTCGAGACGATCGGTATGCAGGGACAAGTAATACAAGCTAGAAAGTAGCTGCTAAGATCACAGAAATAGGAAGAACTTCAATTCAGCTACCAGGCTATACCTGTCCCTTAGGTATGTCAGACGTTATCTTTTTTGGCTTTGATGTAACATGTGATGAGAAGATGATATGTTTTCCCCACTTAGGAAAGAATACAATTAGATGGGGAACGCAGTAGGTGGGTTTGCAAAAATAAGGAAATAGGCTAATTGTCACTGAATTAGCAGAAGCAATTAATTGACCCAACTTTTCATTTTCACCTTCTCATCTCTAATCTCTCAGTCTCCAAAATTGTTGATGTTATTTGTCGTACAATTAAAGTTGATCCCAACCCTTCTTTTTCTTCTTGAATTTCTATGAATAATTTTTCTAAGTTTTTATCTGACGGCGATTACGTCTCTTATATTTTTATCTGACGGTCAATATCAAACCTGGCATCGAATCCGCCTCCCCTATTTAAACCCTTCGTCGCCCCTCCTCCACCACCCCCCCTCTCGCCCGCCGTCCTCATCGAAACGGCGGCGACGATGCAACCGGTGGCTGGAGTCGATCCGCGGCGCACCCCGTCGCCCCAGCCTTGGACGGCGGTGCGGTACCCGGCACCGGCGATGGTGATGCAGCACCCTATGATGGCGCCACCGCCGCCGCCACCGCCATACGGGCATCCCTTCGTTCCCTACCCCCATCCCCCGACGCCTCCGCCTCAGCCGCCGTCGAAATCGAACCGCCACCAGCAGGGCGAGGAGGCGGCGGCGGAGGACGAGAAGCGGACGATCTGGGTGGGGGACCTCCAGTACTGGATGGACGAAAACTACCTCCTCGGCTGCTTCGTCCATGCCGGTGAGGTGAGGATTTATCCTTTTGCCGCTGCTAGATGCTGTCTTTCTTTCATATGTGATGGGAACGCCTTTTACTTCTCTTGATTGATGCGAACAACTGGATCTTCCTGCTTCCTTTTGTTTGCTTTGTGGTAGTTCGTTGAAATATCTGCATTTGTAGGCCATTTACCTTGCCATCTGCATAGACAAGCTGAGTTAAAGAAGTATTGTTTGACTTAAATCTACATGTGATGTGGATATTTTCATAATTTCTCTAGTAATTTTCCTTTTAATAGAAGGTCTTAAATTTTATGCATTAATCTAATACATTTGGTCTCGATCTTTTGTTATAATTAAGTTTAGAAATGTCAAATTTAACAAAGGGTTTGTCCTTTAACGACTTATAATCTGTAAATTGCAGCCCTTGCTGTCGTTCAGATCTTAGACGGGATCTGAAGGCAATCATAACATAGAAATTTTATGGATGATTAAATGTGATGGATTCTGTTCAATCCTGGCAAATTGACTGTGGCTAAATAATAAATTTTAAACAAGGAAGGTGATCCTCTGGTGAGCAGGTAAATGGGAGAAACAGTTTGAGCAAATTTGGCAGCAGCACTTTTTAGTGTGCTTTCTGCACAAATTAAGAAAAACTCTTTCAGTATAGTGCTACTTTTTCGTTTTTAACCAGTGTTAAGGAGTTGATTCTAGACTAAAGTAGCATTTTCTTGGCTAGCTGGCATCATGAAAACTCAGAGATTATGTCTTGACTAACATTTACAGATTGATAATTGTTATTATATTCTTCACATGGCATCTTTTGGTTAGACAATAACGTGCAATGTGGAAGAGATGTCTGTAATTTTTCGGTCTTATGTAAGGAACACAATAATTATTTTCTTGTTACATTTTGCTTAAATTGGAAGGATTAAACCACATACGCCTATTTTTGTGCTTGGTGAACTCATATTTAGTTTTCATCACATGCACTGTTTGTCTCATCTGAACAAGAAGATATTTTCAATTAAATCTTTTGAGTCATTTTTATTGTTTGTTGCATCTATATAATACTTTAAACTAATCTCGTACCTTTTATACTGACTCAACAACTTGCCATGCAGGTTGTCTCCATAAAGGTTATTCGCAATAAGCAGACTGGACAATCAGAGGGTTATGGGTTTGTTGAGTTCCACTCACATGCAACGGCTGAAAAAATACTTCAGAGCTTCAGCGGTCATCTGATGCCTAACACAGATCTGCCATTTCGGTTAAATTGGGCACCATTTAGCATGGGAAATAAGCGTTCAGGTCTTACTTTCGATCACTCTATTTTTGTAGGTGCTTGAATTTACATGCTTACTTCATGGATTTTGCTCTAATTATGCATTCTGCACAACTGACCTTTTCTTGTAAGCTAGGTTTGCCGTACCAGACTGTACCGCCCGGTATGGGCGGTACGTACCGGTCCGACAGGCTAGCGGTACGCGGACCGCCCTGTACCGGTCAGGTGTACCGAGCACATCCGTACTGTAGCACTGTAGCACTGTACACGGACCGCCCTGCTACAGTGCTCGGTACACCTGGGTGTACCAAGCGGTATACCGTACCGGTACCGAGCCCGGGTCGAAACGCCGGTACGGTACGGTACGGCGAACCTTGTAAGTACTGCATAAAAATTCAAAATATCTTCATAGCATATTATTCTCTAACCTCGAGCTTTTCTTGTAAGTACTTCTCTTCCTTTATCTTGTAACATCTTTTTCTCCTTAGTCAATGGTTTTATGGTGGCTTGGTCACAGCTATGCTCATGAAGGAATGGGTAATTTTACAGCAGATAGAAAAATGTCCATCTTTAATTCTAGAAATTCTCTTTTATTCCTGGCAATCATTAATCCTTTTATTGTCCCCTCAAAGGATATGAAGAGTAGAAACTTTTTAGAATTTTTCTTTGTGATATAGTAGTGAAGGCTTCGTTGATAAAAAATGTAAAGTTATTCAGACTGGTTTTGTATCAGTTGAAAACAATATATAGGTAATCATTCTAGGGATACTAGTTGGCTAATTAGATATCAAATCCATTCAGGCACAGATGAAGTATGGGTTGGCTTGACTGCCTATTCTCTCCTAGTTGGTTGGCTTGATATTCAAGAAAGAAGAAATAAAAAACAAGAATATAGAATGTAACAACAAGGAAAAGTCTGCAGCCATAAGTAACCTTACTGTTTAACACCCTTATTTATATTGCTGACTTAAACCCAAATCTTTGTTTATTCAATTTAAGATCTTACATAATTAAATATAGAATCATGGTGGCTAAGCCTCCATTAAGACAGTCGCCTGTTAAAGGTTGAGTGTTATGGACTCTTTTGACACCATCAACCTGGACAAATTCACAGAGGACATGGCATTTATATTTTCGTTTCTTTGTCACAGTATATTAGAAAAAAAAAATCAAAACTAGACAGAATTCTAATTGGAAAAAAAAAAAACCTGAGGATATCATTCTATGTTCAACCTTAGACCTGTTTTTTTTTTCTGGTTGACTTTATTTCTGATTTAACTTAACTCTAGGTCTTTGATTGTATCAATAGATGGTTTACAAGCTTGAATGTATTTTAAGTCAAAAGCCTTATCTTATCTGGCCTTAGTGGCAGTATTTTCCCACTTCAAATTATGATTGTTGGTTTTCTATATTAGGATTCAATATGCAAGCATCACTTAACACTTTTCCTTTGTTTTACATCGTAGTCATTTTTTTTATAAACAAATGTCCATGGAACCCTAACTGTGGATACATTTAGGTGGTCTTGGACCTGATGGTGCATCAGCAACCGGCTCCCAGTCAGATATAGATTCAGCTAAGACAACAGTAAGGAGATTTTGTCCATATATGTTATAGAGGTAACATGTATTGGTACAACCTTTTAACAATATATTTTTGTTGCTGAAGGTATTTGTTGGAGGGCTTGATCCAGAAGTCAGTGAAGATGATCTGAAAGAAGCCTTTTCATAGTATGGAGAAATCACCTCTGTTAAAATTCCAGTTGGAAAACAATGTGGTTTTGTTCTTTTTTCCCATAGGTACATCTTGCTAATGCATGTTTCTGAACATTGTAAACAAATGCACGACAAGTTTGTTGAGCTGTGTGTTTCTTCTTTTAACCCATGCAGAAATAATGCTGAAGAAGCATTGCAACAGTTAAATGGTACAATTATTGGCAAGCAAATAGTGCGTTTATCCTGGGGTCACAACCCTGCTAGGCAGGTACTGACTTTTAGAGTTTAAGCTAAAGCATGTCTATTATTTATCTACAAAAGAAAAAATGACCTATAAGTCTGAAAAAGAAAGATTCTCGATTCATTTTATTTTAGATCTAAGAATTTTCTTAGGTTAAGTTAGGTCCTTGTTTTCTAGTTTAATTCATAAATAATTTTGCTGCTATATGTTCTTTTAGGAATGTTGTTATAGCCAATAAGGTTTTACGATTAAAGCAAAGTTTAGAGCCGTCAGATGAAGAGTTCATTAAAAAATTAGTACTTGTACTTTTATTATATATTTTTTTATTGTAATTTGTAAAAAACCCTTAAGCCTCGATATCATGGGAGAAGTTTTAAATTATATGGATACCAAAAAAGTCATGCACCTCCACATAGTGTCCATTGCATGGAGTACTATGATCTCAAACCATAATCAAACCAAAAGAGTGATCCTATGACTGACCTTTAAGAAATATTCTAATTGGAATGCATAATATAGTAGACAATCGAAAGTCCTTTGAGGTGAGTGTACCATTTTACTATAAAGAATACAACGTTTTACAAATCTATCATGTTTGGATAGTATTTTTATCTTATCCCCAAATCAGTCTATATAATTCATTTTCTAAAATGCCAATTGATCTCCCTACTTGCGATGAACGTATCTTCTAAGGATCTACTTACCTATCGTCAGTTTTGGAGAACCCTGATAATACATTCATTTTGACAACATACACAATAGTATATAGTTGGAGAAAGCGAGATTCTTCGTGGAGTATTGAGGAAATACCCAATCATGATCATTGGTGCATCATAAGCTAGACATGACATTTCTAGGGTCACTCGGTTGGGCATGAAAATTCTTGTTGAAGCAAAAGAGTGCATTTCATGTACTTATTTGGTTGAATCTTATGAAGAATTGTGGTTTGCCTTACAACATAAATTTTGTGATATCTATGTATATCAATTAGATCTAGAGAGTAAGGCCTGTGTCAAGATGGATAGCTTAGGTAATCGAGCATTATTTCTAGATGATAATGTACTCTTTCGAGATCTCCGTCCCAACTCATGAGATAAGATATAAGAGTAATTGTATATATCTCATCCATTGTAATAAAGTTCTAATTATAAATGATGACCGTTAGAAAATAATTTGGAAAAAAGTAGATCGTAAAAAAATAATTTGGCAAGATCTCTCCGATCGTATATTTTGGATCATACCAAGTTATAACTGAAAGAGTTTGTTACATGTATGAATTTTTTTAATTATTTTATCTTTATACAAAAATATTTATAAATTATTTATAAATTACATGAAAAATTAGATTATTCAATTGTAAATTGTTAAATATTTTGTACTCCATATCGAATAAATCAATGCATAAAAGTTCTTACTGTGTAGTACTTAAAATTTAATAATTGATGATGAACTTTTCGAAATTATTGGTGATGTCGAGTTTTTCTTATTTAAGTTTTTTAAGATTTTCATACTACATATTGTTATCGAATAAATTAATGAATGAAAATTTCACCATATATAAAATTAAAATAGGTATACAATTAGAAGTGTATTTCTTGATTTTTTTTATTTTTGGTATGAGAAATATCTGAAAAGCATATATTTCTAAATCATAATAAAACAATATTTTGTGATACATAAAACAAAGTTTTTTGTTTTTTTTGTTGGGTTGCACTTCTGCAAAATAATTTACAAAAAACAAAAATTTCTATAAAAAAAGAACGGATTTATTTTTCTTTTCCTATTCTTGGAGCATTGAACACTCTTTTTTTTTATCCCACGGCCGTTTCATTTGTGTTTGTTTTAGCATGATGTAGACAATAAATGAAACAAGCTAGTTGCACTTGTGGTATAAAGCTTAGTTCAACAGATCACTAAGAGACCTATAAACATATCACTAAGAGAATTTTAGAGAGAAGAAAGCTCTGCATATGATTCTTCATTACCAAAGAAGCTTTGTAGAGCTTGTAAAAAGAATGATGTGGCTTCTATAAACAGAGACCTCCTATAGCCATATTAATGTGGTTAACGTGTGTACGATGAACCAATTGCTACTGGTAGAACAATAAGAGGCAAGACTAGCGAGTATCCTACCAACATAGTGTTGAATCAGAGAATAGCTTTAAGTCAAGTTATCACACGTGAAATAATTTATGCATCACAAGTGTACAAGATAAACTCCTATAGAGATATATTTGCTGATAAAATTGTTTTTATTAATGACAGTCAAGTTGGAACAATTTCTTGAAGACAAGCTCCAGAAACAAACTTTTAGGTTATGTAGAAAACCATACCCGTGTTGCAACTTCTGCAACACTTAAATTAGGATCAAAGATACAAGATTAACATAAAATTCAAAGCTTTAGACATCATTAATTATTATTCAAAAGAAAAGAAACATCAAAAAAGGTATTGCTCGTAAAATAAAGTCAGATCTACAAACCAGACAGTGCATCAACTAAAACCCCCAAGGATCATCAAATGCCTCCTAAATTCTGGCTATGCTCTATATATAAAAATATATACGGCAATTAAAAACAACAAATCTAGAATATTTTTTTCGTTGATATAGGATCCATCTGATACATATGCAGGATTATCCGAAGATGAGAGCAAAATATATTTGTAATTCTGAATCAGGCTCATACCATCAATAAAATTATGAGACTCAATTCACGGTTTAGTCTTAGACATGTTTGAAGAAAAGCTACAAATGACATAGCGAGTTGAGGTATAGTGCTACTAATTGATAATATCATGAGTGAGGAAAAAATCCTAAAGCTGCTACCTATTTCGAAGTCCTTGATTAGACCAACGATATTGACCTCAACAAAAGCTTAATGGAAGAAAGTATCCATGATTAATTTCATTACAAGGAAAACACAGTTCATACAACCTCATAAGAAGCTGCTAGTCATCCGTGCAAATGAACTTGTTGGAAGAATCCAAAACACTTCAAAGTTAACTGTCAACAAAAACAAAATGCTCATTATGACACTCACATGGTTTAAGGTAACTGGAATGCTTCTGATGAAAGCTATCTTTAGATCAAGGACTATGACTTATTCTTTCACCTCAAGTAGCCAATTTAAAAATTCAGCCCATTCTGCTTTCAATACCCAATTTTCTAGTTTAAATAATGTTAGAAATAGGCACACTACAATACTGATAGACACGAGACAATCTGGTGTCAATTCTATACCAAAAGCCTATATGACGCATGCTAGGTATTGGACTACCGGAGCCTTTCCTCAAACTGCATTCAAGTATACAAAGTGTCTTTGACAAAATTTTCTTCTGGTGCTCTAAGCTTCTGTAGTACCTAAAATTATAGTTGTATGATAACAAGCTTGCACAATTATTATATTCTTGATGCTTGAACACTAAAGGGCAGATCCATAATATTATCTCGCAATGAGCACCTTCCCTCACATTATGCAGCCTGGACATATTTTGTTAGAGAATGAAAGAACTGGGATATCCGTAGGGGTTTTTGCATAACAACCAATCTTGCCTTCATATTCTGATTTGTAGCTCATGTCAAAATATCATGTATTCATTTTGAAAATAATTTCATTCAGAAAAAAAGAAAGAAAGAAAGATCCATCAGGATACTAAGACTGCTCAGATATCATGGTCTGTAGGTGCTCTTCCCTTAATGAGAAATATTTTACAAAATCATTAGCAGTGAAAGGTGACTTGTTACTTTTACCACTATAGGATACATCTTTATGTGAAAAAAAGTAATCCAGTAAATCATGATTTATTTTAAATTTCAGTAATTCAGATTCCACTGATTCTGAAACAAGAATACCAGAACAATATCTGGCACAGAAATATACAGCAAGCCAGAACAATCAAATGAAACATTTATAATTTTCATTCTACCATATTTACCACTAAAAAGTAGGTTGGGTACATTAAGAAGTGTAAATTCTGTGACCTTTAGATACTGATACTATCTCGAGTCTAACAAGAAGTACTATATAAGTACAGGAGAGATGGCTACTTCTGCATCATATTTAAGGTTGATGACAGAATTCAAAATTAGCTAACAGTGGCTCAACCAAATAGAGAGCAAATGCAACTCAAAGGACTAATTACATCTTTTTGACCCTCTTTAACTGAGATTAAAAAGAAATTAACTTCAAGAAAATCCTTGAACTACTCACCTCAAAATCAACCAAGGCTAGACTCAAACTGGGATCAACCTTTACTCCTTAAGTCAAATGCTCAATCTTAATCTGTTAGCTGAACTAGGATTCTTGATGATTTAATTTTCTTCTATCACGAATGAGCATATGCTTATGATATTTTGTTGTGCCTTGGACCCTAAAATTTATCTTCAAAAAACAGTTTGTCACATTGACTAAACCTGATCCTATCTAACCAATCCAATTTTTGTTGATTCTTGGACTTGTCTGGCAATCTGATGTGACAAATTATAAAGATGGAGCTCACTGCTAAGGAGATACACCTGCTCATTCGAAAGTGTTGTGCCTCAATCTAGATAGAGACTGGTGTGGCAAAAAAATCCAAAACTTCCTTTCTCATTATTTTCTAATATTTTAATCAATATTTTATAAAAAATAATGATATCAGAGGATTATATCATTATTTACACTATATAGTCAGAATAACTAGTGTTTTGCAATCTATAGTCAATATGCCTGGTACTAACCAATAATAATCAAGATAATTAAACGAAAACAGTACACCTATCTAAAGAACACCCTTGTCACAGTTATAACCTCCACCTCTGCCTCCTCCTCTTTCTTCTCCTATTTTCTCACTTTTTTCTTAGTTTCTTTGCTTGTCTCCTTGAGCTCCTCACAAAATCTTAAAGTTGCAATTAGGGTTAAACAACATATCAAGATTCATGATTAAGGTCTCTTAGTGATCTGTTGAACTAAGTGGTTTCACTTGAAGTTGGAGAGGCAAGAAATTCCTAAAAATTGTAAAGGTTGGAACAACATATCAAGACTTATGATTAAGGTCTTTTAAAGATCTGTTGAAGTAGTTTAACTTGAAGTTGCACTACTGAGAAATTACTCCAAATCGAAAAGGTTGGAGACCAAGTCCATGCTTAAACCCATACATGGTGTCCAAATCGAAAAGGTTGGAGACCAAGTCCATGCTTAAACCAATACATGGTGGAAAACTAGTAACCAATGAAATTTAATTAATTTTATATATCTAAAAATGTATTAATTTTATTTTTTAGAAAAAAATTGTTTAGAATGGTGATGAAGACTTAATAGATGTTGAAGTGTACTTGAAACTAAATTTCCATGAATTTTCCCTTGCTTTTCATGAAACAAACACAAATGATCCGATTATGAGATCTAAACTAAGTTTTTTTTATAAATCAATTTACAAAAGTGCAACACAATAATAAGTAAGAATCTTTGTTTTCTATATCACAAAAGATTGTTTTCTTATGATTTAGAATTTTTTACTTTTCAAATATTTCTTATACAAAAAATAAAAACAATCAAGAAACACACATCTAATTGTATGTCTATTTTAATTCTATCTATAGTGAAGTTTTCATACATTAATTTATTCGATAACAATATATATTATAGTATAAAAAATCTTAAAATACTCAAATAAGAAAAATTCAACACTAACTATAGCTTTGAAAAGTTAATAATCAACTATCAGGTTTTAAGTACCACACAATAAGAACTTTCATGCATTAATTTATTTGACAACAATATAGAGTATACAAAATATAATAATATGCAATTGAATGATATAATTTTTTATTCAATTTATAAATAATTTATATTTAATTTTAAAGATAAGATAACTAAAAAATTTATACATATAACAAACTTTTTCAGTTATAACTTGGTGTGATCCAAAATATAGGGTGGGAGGGTTCTTGCCAAATTGTTTTCTTACTATCATTTTTTTTTCTAAATTATTTTTTTACAAACCATCTTTTATAATTATAACTTTATTATCATTGATGAGATATATGCAATTATTTTCATATCTCGTTTCATGAGCTGGTACGAAAATCCCCAAACAGTTATCTTTATCATCTAGAAATAATGCTCAATCACCTAAGTTGTCCATCTTAACTCAGAGCTTACTCTCTAAATAAAGTCAATATACATAGATAACATAAGATTCATGTTGTAAGACAAACCATAATTCTTCGTAAGATTCAACCAAATAACTACATGTAATGTCCTCGTTTGCTCTAATAGGAATTTTCACGCCCAACCAAGTGACTCTTAGAGGGAACAATTGAAAACTAACTAATTCAGTACTACATATCTCTAGTACATAAAAATGTCTTGCCAAGCTCATGATATGTCAATTATTAAGATTGGGTTTTTCTTTTATAGTTCATGAAATATCTCCCTTTCTCCACTTACATAGTGTTGTATCAGTTGTCTTACTGAATGTATCATTAGTGTTTTCCAAAACTGACGATAGGTACGAAAATCCCCAGAAGATATCTCTATTGCAAGTATGGATATCAATTTTCACTTAAGAAAATGGATTGTATAGGCTGATCTAGATATCAAGATAAGAAAAGAACATCTAACTGTTATAGATTTGTAAGATGTTGCATTCTTCATAGCAAACTAGTATACTCACTTTAAAAGACTTCTGATCGTTTTCTATGTTATGCATGGCCCATTTGAGAGATTTCTTATAGGTCAACCATGAGATCACTCTCTTGGTTGGATCATGGTCCGAGATCATAATGCTCCATGCAACGCACATTGTGTAGATGCACACGACATTTTTGGGATCCATAGAATTTAAAACTTCTCTCATGATATTGAAGTATAAGGATTCCTTTTTCTTCATCTTCTTATTGCTTGTAATTTTATATTTACAAAAATTATTTGAACAAATATTAAAATATATAAATTTTAATTAAAAAAAATAAAATATTTTATGAACTATACTAAATAAAATAAAATAAAAGTACAAATATAAACTCTTTAATGAACTCTTCAACTGACGACTCTAGACTCTACTTTAATCCCAAAAACCCATCAGCCATAACAACACTCATAAAAAATATAACAACAAAATTATTTATGAATTAAACTAGAAAAGAAAAACAAAAATAGAGATACTAAAGCCTTCTTAGCCTCCTCCACCAAGTCCTGAAATAAGCTTCACTAGTGAACTTGATCCGGCCATGATGGTGTTCCTAAAAATATAAATAAAATGGTGTATGAATTATAATAAAAAAAATAAAATTGTAGAATACTAACTCTTCTATGGACTCCTCCAATAAGTCTGAAAATGCTTTAGCCACCATGAGTTTCCTAAAAAGAACATGTTTATACTAAAAAAAAGAAGAAAAAAGTAATATTATGATTGATTCCAAATAATAATGATATTCCTAACACTCTTCCCTTCTAGTACATGTTTCATTTATTTACACTTGGAGCCTTGTATTTGTTTGGTTAAATCTTCGTGTAGTCCTTAGTTGCTCATAATTTATCATATAATATATTGAATCATAATTATCAGTTAATTAATGGTGAGAATTGATCTTTGATTAACTACTCTAGATGTTTATTTTTCTGATTGTAGATGCATGTGCTTTTGAACATATTATTTCTCCTTTTGTTTCCCCCTAAGATATGATAAATAGAGCTAATGTAGATGACTATAGCTTTCATCCACAAGGCTTCATCTCTGCAAAAAGGTACACGTCTTAGTAGTGCACTTTCACTTTAAATTTGTTGATTTATTTTTTTAGCATCTATTCTTTTTTATTTTGAGTAGACAAAATTGATTTGACTTGATTTATTTTCCTAATTATCGTGGATGTAATACAGAAGCCAAAATCAATTGATGATGAATGTCACACCATGATAAAAGATGCTTGTATTTTGTATTGTGTTTTATTACGAGGGCAACAAATATTTATATCTCATATCTAGTATCTAATTTTAGGATCATATCTTATGAGATATTTATATCTCATATCTGATGATGATAAAAGATTTATTCTTATAAGAGACCATATCAAACATGTACTTAATAAGACTCTTTTGAATAATCAAATCAATTTGGGTTTGTTGGTTGCAAGAAAAATTGCTCCTAAATAATTGAATAGCTCAAGTCTAATTAGTTCTGAATGGATATATATATATATATATTTATATTATATTCAAAGTTAACTTTATATCATTGTTATCACAATCTTATGTTGATATTGGAAGTATTATAGATGGTTTGAATGTGATATCTTACCTGCATTGAGTCCAAATTGTTCAAACTCATATTTCAATTTGCCTCGTGCAAGCTTATCAAGTAAGAGTGGACGTTCTCTCTATCAACCGTTGAGTAGTGGGTTTAGATGGAGGCAACTAAATCTTGTGCTGAAGGAAAGTTTTCGATTGATTCAATCTAATTTAAATAGATCATAACATCGTATATGGCAATTGCAAATCATGTCACTAAAAAAGTTGAGCTTGAAAGTAAATGCTGGATACAGAGATGAAGGAAGCAGATTGGAGCAGCTCTTGAAAGGAAAACGTATCCAGTACCAAGTGGCATGAAGCTTCTTATGATTGGGAACAGCCATGTCCGAGAACCATATATAAAGCGTCATCATTTCCGCTGCCCAGACTTGAAGATTCCAGCTGCTCTCAACTTGCTCTCTGCAGCCCTACTGACCACATGAAACAAAGTGGGGTTGACGCTCCAGGCTTCAGCTCATGGAGGTTGCCGGCTACCGAACCTCCGCAACTTTCAAGGATCATGCGTTCTTCGACTGCTCATCTTGTTTGTGTTCTGCAGATGCATCGCTAGCCTTGTTGGGCACAGGCAGACATGCTGAATTAGCACAGGATTGCAGTATCATCTAAGTGCAGACGATCCTCAAGTTGATCAGAACTTTTATGATTGTGATGAGCTGAGCTTCTGATTACCCCTGCTAGGTTTCTGTGTGAAGTAATGATAGAAAGAAAGAAGAACTTTTGTTTTCTTTTTCCTTTTGATTTTTTGATTTCTAATATTGCGTCAACAGTCCCTGTTCTTGTTTTAAGTTGGCGTTGGTGGCTGATGGAGCCTCACTTTGTTGAACATGATGATTGGTAGTCATGTTTGGTGATCGCATCTGCTTCCATAGGCATCTAGCCATCTGAATTATCTGCTAAAACTAAGCTTCAAAATATTATACATGATACAAACCGAGAATATGCCCTTGAAGAACATATTAGAACGAACACTAACAGTTGGTAGCAGTTGCCACAGAACAAAGAAGATGAGCTATAATAGATCAGTGAGAAGACAGAGAAAGATTCGTCCTTTAAAGTATTATCTCATCAATCATGATTTATATTTTCCTATAGTACAAATCAAGAATTAGGGGGAATGTAATGAGCGAGGAATACCTAATCAAACGTGCTGGCCCCTGGTATGAAACTATCAAAAGGCATCATTGCATGTATATTGACCAAAACCATTGCATGTAGATTTCATTACATGCAATGGATTAATCTTTCTCATGTGCTTCACTTAGTTTAAGACCTCCAGACCAAATGAATAGATAGATTTCTAAAACCATATTCTTGAAGACCACATGATATTTGATTCCTTCCAGTCTCCTCTTCCAAACCAACCACACTCAACTCATCATCAGCTTGACATGATAAGCATTGATAATTTGATGCTCACATGAACCCTTCATCTTTGTGAAGAACTTGAATGACATTATTGGGCACAGAAAAAAGAAGGAGAAACAAAAGGCACACCAGACATGGATGCACTCATTTTGCTGATAGACTCGTTGTCTTACGGTTCATTATTCATCATTAGCCTTCAAAACTGTTCTGCTGCAACATGGACATTTTTCACTGTATTCATCCTGTATTTTTGAACAAGGATGCAAAAAAAGAAAGCAATTTGCTTGCTCTCTTAAACTATACATTTACATTCCATACACCTTCATTATCTCATAATAAAAATTTCTATAAGTATACAAGTGATATATGAGCTAAAAAGATGTCAATAATGAATAGTGGGAACAGGGTGCCTAGCAGATGAGGAACAATGTCTCTTCCACACAAATCGTACGATCTCAGCAGCCTGTCCGACATGCTTTAACTTCTCCTTGTCTCCTCAACCGATTTCAAGAACCATGTTTCATAAAACAAGCATATCTAACAAAAGCATTAGTAACCATACTCATTCATGCAAGCATCAATGCAAAGAACACTAGAGAGAGAAAGAGAGGGTCAAATTCACAAAGAGACCGAGACAACCCGTCCTGTTGTCTTTGTTACGACACCATTTTATTGAAGTCATTATAAATCATTAGATACTATAGATAATTCCACTTGTTTCATACACCCAAGGCTCTATATAAAGCGTCATGCCCTCTTGATACAAGCACCAATTTCGGTTTCCTCATTGCAGCATCCTCTCTTCGTTGTCAAGAGAGAAGATGGGGGGAGGCTCACAAGTCTCTGAGAAAGTGAAGCTTCTCATAGCTGTACTGGCACTGCAATCCTGTTATGCAGGGTTCCACATAGTTTCCAGAACTGCACTCAACATGGGAATCAGCAAACTTGTCTTCCCAATTTACAGGAACATCATTGCGTTGGCTTTGTTGGCCCCCTTTGCATATTTTCTGGAGAAGTAAGCCAATGTCTTAGCTTGCATGCTGTTGAGAGCAGTAAAACATTGTATTCTGATGTCTTCATTCTTGTTTTTGGCTTTCCTCAGAAAAGACAGGCCACCTCTTACCTTATCTTTGCTGTGTCAGTTCTTTCTTCTAGCACTATGTGGGTAAGCAGATACAAAGTTCTCTCCACATGAGCAGAGTACTAGTTTTGGTGCCTCCTCCCAAGTTCATATGCTGGGTATTTATCTCTTTTTTCCTTCCAGGATTACTGCTAACCAAGGATTTTATCTCTTGGGTCTGTATTATCTATCTCCAACCTATGCTTCTGCCATTCAAAACTCAGTTCCAGCAATAACATTTGCCATGGCTGCAGCTCTTAGGTAATCGAAGGACAACATGTAGCCATATCTATATGCACACTTGCTAAAGAGAAATTTGTTTACATGCACACAAAGAGATGCATCTAATCTTCTCTCGCTTAATTCTCTCTTCCTCTCTCTGCAGGCTGGAACAGATCAACATCAACAGTAGGTATGGTGTGGCAAAGGTGGTCGGAACGGTTGCCAGTGTAGGAGGTGCCACCATCATCACTCTCTATAAGGGTCCTCCTCTGCTGCACCACCAGCACCATGCCAAACTCTGCCTCGGTGCCTCATCAAACACAATATTGAACTGGACACTGGGTTGTGTATACGCCCTTGGGAATTGCGTTGCATGGTCCGGTTGGATGGTGCTTCAGGTCAGTCCCCCTCACTATGTGATCTTGCAGTCGATGATATATACCAGAAACAAGATAGCCCATCGCTGTTTGTGTTGAACAAGTGCAGGTTCCAGTGCTTAAGAAGTATCCTGCGAGGCTCTCAGTTACGGCAATCACCTGCTTCTTTGGGCTGATCCAATTCCTCATCATCGCAGCCTTCTCAGAGAGGGACATTGAGAGGTGGAAAGTCCACTCGGGAGTGGAGCTCTTCACCATCCTCTATGCTGTAATGCCACCACAGATATGCTGACTGCATTGCTTCTCTCTTTTAGCAAACAATAAAAGAGTTTGTGCTGCTTAAGATCATCACCTTCACTGTCTCAGATTTTATGCTTACATTTCAATTGTCTACAGGGTCTTGTGGCATCAGGGATCTCTTTCTCTCTCCAGATTTGGTGCATTGATAGAGGAGGCCCTCTTTTTGTTGCCGTCTTCCAACCAGTACAAACAGTGGTGGTGGCCATTATGGCAGCTGTTATTCTTGGTGATCAGTTCTACTCAGGAGGGTATGGCTACATTAATTTCATGAAACATATTTCACAATCACAATTTTCACCGCATAATGCTCAATCTACTAAACTTTTTGGTCATTGCCTTTCTTTCTTTTCTCCAGGATTATTGGATCCATTCTGATTGTGTTTGGCCTCTACTTTGTCCTCTGGGGGAAAAGCGAAGAGAAGAAAGCTACAGAGCAAGTAATGGAGGAGGACGTAAGAGGGCATCTCCTTGACCAGGAGAAGTCGCATAAACAAAATGCTGCAGTTTCTGACATCCCATGAGGGTGGCTAATGCTCAACATAATGAAAGTACAATGGAGTTAAGTTGGTGTGGACAATCATAGATTCCAAATGACACTGTAAACTTGACAAGCTCTTCCTAATTAAAGTCTTGTCCAACTTTTACACTTGTTGGGGGAGGTGTGTGACTCACATCTCTGTTAGTATCAAATACTCTTGGCTTGAGTATACGAGGAACAAAAATGATCAGTGATTCACCTGCTCAAAGCTTAGAGTATGTGAGCAAGAAGAACAGCCCATCAAGCTTGGCAATACACGTGAAATGAACGACAGCCCATTTTGCTCAATATTAGGCCCAATTAGGACCATGCGTTGGTTCGTTTACCAAGTGTTGACCTCGAAGGATATGCGCGTAATTTCATGTAGCCTTCCCTGAGTCCTGACGTACACGAGTTCTAAGCACGGCACCCCATCAAAGGGAAATTGTGAGCATAAGTCCCTCCTGAACCGTTCATCTCACCAATCTTTTTAATCGCAACCGTTAATCTTTCATAATGGAACAAACATTGTAGGTTCATACCACTGACTAGATAGGCGGTTGAGATGTAAAGAGGCAACGAATGAACGGTTCCGATGGAATTTGCATTCTGTAGAGGCCGACATTAGTGGGGGGGATCGAATACAAATTATTTGTGTGTGATGACAAGGACCCACCAGACGACAGATGCAGTCACAAGTGAACCTGGCCACGTATGGTCTCGGGAAGTGACTATTTCGCGTGACACGCGTTTCACATTTTCTTTTCTTTCGTTCTATAAAGCGACACGAATGACCCGAAGGGGGAAAAGGGAAACGAAGGGGGAGAGAGGGAGATGGCGTCGTTGAAGCTAAGCGCTCCGTCAAGCCAATGGATTGCCGGGGAGAGGCCTCTCTGCCAGCGGAGGTGCGTCCTTAAGGCGCCGTCCCGGCGGGTCGCTGCAGGGCCGATCATGGCTGGATCGTACACCGACGAGCTCGTCCAGACCGCCGTGAGTCCACCTAACCTTCATGGCCCCATTTTTCTTTTTTTGATCGATCTCACACCTCTCTGGTCGATTCACAGCCCCTGTGACGAGATCCCTCTACCGTGATCCCAGAAAAGAACGTAGATCGATTATAAAAGGATCGCTTTTTTGTCGTTCTCTTAGTTTCCTTTGACCTTTAGAGTCGGTCTTTTTTACGTTGATCTGTTGGGCTAATGCGATCTTGTTTGTTGTTCCTCGACTAATGATCTGAAATGTTTCACGCTTTGCAATTTAATTTACTAAAAGATCAAAAGGGTAGGAAAATGTATTTCTGATTTCTTATGTGATGACCATTTTGTTGAGTCCGAGGAATTGATGTTGAAGGCAAAGATACAGGTTTCTGAAGGAAGTCATTGCTATGAAAAGTTTGGTCTGTGGAAGTTTTGTTGCTTCTGATGTTGGTAACTTGGTGTTCTTTGATGATGAAAATAAGCTGCTTTTGCGCCAAAAAGAATTGTTCTCTCCTCGGTCCTGGAACTGTTGCTGTTGATGTTACAATTGCCAGTTGATATTTGTTTTATAAAAAACTTATTACTTCCCCCGGCGGAGGAGTTCTTGCCACTAATGAACCAGATGCTGGTTAATTTAATTTTTTTGTAGAAATCTATTGCTTCCCCTGGACGTGGAATTCTTGCAATTGATGAATCAAATGCTACCTGTGGCAAGCGGCTTGCATCAATTGGTCTGGAGAATACAGAAACAAATCGCCAAGCATATAGACAGCTTTTGTTGACCACACCTAGTTTGGGTGAATATATTTCTGGAGCCATTCTCTTTGAGGAAACGCTATATCAGTCGACCACAGATGGGAAGAAGTTTGTGGATTGCCTGCGTGAAGAAAAAATAATGCCTGGTATTAAGGTTGATAAGGTAATAGTCACCAGGATGACTTGTGGAC